GAGGTGCTCCCCGACACGTCAACTCGACCCAAAACTGACTAAAAAAATCATGATGTGGGTTGATTCGATTAATTTTTCAGTTGGTTTCTAGTCTAGAATCTTAGCCCATGTAATTTTCTAGATTGAGTTTAATTTAAACTACCATCCCGAAATTGATCTGCCTACCCGAAATTAATCTTTCAACTCGTAATTGATATGAACTTAACCATATTGCTGTAATTCTTTATATGAAATTGGTTATGCTTGTCTGGTTTGGGTCAGTTGGATTGAAGCCGGGTAGGTTTTTTGATCCATATAATATTCGGGCCCAGTTTGAATCAAGCAATTTTAAGTCAGGTTTATTTAGACCCAATTCCAACCCACAAAACCAATTTGAAACACTTAGATAAAACTCTGAAAACACTTGCCTGTTTAAACATTTTTGTATTTTAAGTGCCTTTCTTCGTTACACACTAGTAACATTTACAATAACCTGAATAGAATCCATTTTTTTGGGCTTTGTTTAGTTGAGATATTTTTTTTAATCAATCCTAAGCCTAACAGGGAGAAATGACTGGGCCTCATATCATGTTGAGGCCCTATGCAGGCTCATATTGCAAAGGAAATCGTTGCTCAGACCTGCTATAAATACACTTTGTCCTGTTTTAGTTTCTACGCTAATAATCAGGTCTATACAAGAGTAAGGAAAGGGTGGTTTTTGGGGATCCTTTTCAATGTGGGGTTATTGCATGTAATCTGGCTGCTTCTTTTTTATATATAATGTTATAACTGATACTAGTATTTTTTTTTTATTTTACTTCTCTAGTTTTCTACTTCAACATTGCACCAATTGGCTCTCAATTTTTTTTTATTATGTTATGAATTCTTTCCTGAAAGCGAAGAATGTCACACAACCGATCTAATATATTTGTTGGCAAAGCTAAAGTTCATTTCGGTACCTTGTGAATGGCTGAATCTACTGTTTACTGACTAATCACGAAAGGTGAAATGAGCTGTTTTCGTTAGGCAATTCTTTTGTTCAAGAGTTCTTAAATGATCCTTTATAGATTTTTTTCCCTGTATTTGGTATTATGTTATCCCTTTTGTTTATAAAAGAAATTATTTATTGATTTATTTTTTATTTTAATGGCATCCATTTCAATATTTAAGGCAACATTAAATAGTGTTTTGTCTGCTATTCATTCTCTAACTGCTTCGTGGTTTTTCCTTGAGCCATTTTCTTTGTCATCCTCGATTTTTTTTTTTTGTTTTAGCAGCAAATTGTTTGTTTATTGGATTGCAGTTTTGTTGATATATTCTAAGTTTCCTGTGTGTGTTGAACTCAGACAGGCCATGGTTGGGATGTCAAGAGTGTTGATTGGCACCCAACAAAGTCATTACTCGTATCAGGTTCTTATCCTTAATCAAGATATTTTCTTGGAACTTTTACATACATACCATCGAATTCTTATGTGTTTACATTTCTAAAGCCGAAACTTTAATTATTACATTTATACCACCCAAATCTTTCATATCACGTAAAAATACCTCCATTTTAACTCCTGGAAAGTGAAATATGCCTTTTTTGTGTGGGGAAGTGGTATGCATTTAAAAGTTGAAGTTTAGGTGTTAGAGATGTAAATACGAAAGAATCGAGTGATATGTATGCGAATCTTGCTATTTTCTTTATTATGGTATTCTGGTTTTAACCGCACTTATATGCTTTTTTTTGTCATTTTGCATGTAAAATTTGATGAAACAGGTGGAAAAGACAATCTTGTGAAGCTGTGGGATGCCAAAACAGGGAAGGAGCTCTGTTCATTGTAAGTAACTTTCATCATTTTTTGGTTTACTTTGCATGAATTCTGATTGTTAATTCATTTCTGTTTTGCAGTCATGGCCATAAAAATACTGTGTTGTGCGTCAAGTGGAATCAGAATGGAAACTGGGTTCTTACTTCGTCGAAAGATCAAATCATCAAGGTTTTCTTTCATTAACCCATTTATTGGTTTTTTTGCTGCAGTTGTGCGATATGTGACTCATTGTATTCTGCCGAAGCTTTTTCTCTTTTATGGTTTCTTCTTACTTAGGTTGCATGCAAAATGAGATTAAAACATTATGAGGAGCTTGATTTATTATGTTGTGTCATATTAAAAGGGAAATTATTTTGAGGTGCTTGGGAAGAATATTATTTTTCTTTTAAATATATATTGATTAACCCATTTATTGGTTTTTTGCTGCAGTTGTGCGATACGGGACTCATTGTATTCTGCCGAAGCTTTTTCTCTTTTATGGTTTCTTCTTACTTAGGATGCATGCAAAATGAAGTTAAAACATTATGAGGAGCTTGATTTATTATGTTGTGTCATATTAAAAGGGAAATTATTTTGAGGTGCTTGGGAAGAATATTATTTTTCTTTTAAATATATATTGATTAACCCATTTATTGGTTTTTTGCTGCAGTTGTGCGATACGGGACTCATTGTATTCTGCCGAAGCTTTTTCTCTTTTATGGTTTCTTCTTACTTAGGATGCATGCAAAATGAAGTTAAAACATTATGAGGAGCTTGATTTATTATGTTGTGTCATATTAAAAGGGAAATTATTTTGAGGTGCTTGGGAAGAATATTATTTTTCTTTTAAATATATATTGATTAACCCATTTATTGGTTTTTTGCTGCAGTTGTGCGATACGGGACTCATTGTATTCTGCCGAAGCTTTTTCTCTTTTATGGTTTCTTCTTACTTAGGATGCATGCAAAATGAAGTTAAAACATTATGAGGAGCTTGATTTATTATGTTGTGTCATATTAAAAGGGAAATTATTTTGAGGTGCTTGGGAAGAATATTATTTTTCTTTTAAATATATATTGATTAACCCATTTATTGGTTTTTTGCTGCAGTTGTGCGATACGGGAAGTTTCAAATGGAAGGTGATGCACCTGATGTAGAATTTCTCAGCTCACAATGAGCCCAACAGTCTGAGAATTTATGTTGAACCATGTAGCAGGAGCAGCAGTTTAATTGGATATTTTCCTATTCTTTCTTCAGTCAGTACCCAATCGATGGGGACCCAATCCAAATCTTTATCAAAATGGGGAATTCCACCGATAATCTGGCCACAATACGCCTAGAAAGATTTATTTTCATAGCATCATTCCACAAAATAATTATAAAATAAAAGAATAAGGTTGATTGGTTGAAGTGCTGCATATAAAGTTTTGAAATTGAGATCTATACAGGAGCAACATATGTTTCTATAGGGCAATCAAAATGAGGTGACCATTTTAGCTTTTGTGAATTTATGCCCAAACATATGGCATGAGGAGCAGTGCGATGAGATATTTTCATATTTCTCATCAGTCAATGTCTAGTCAGTAAGGAATCAATCCACATCTTATAAAAATGGGTAGTAACATCCAATTTCACTAATATCTCGGCCACAATAGGCCTGGTAAGATTTGTTTTCGTAGCACTCATCCATAAAGATATTTCAAAATAGAATAAAAAAATAATAAGGTAGATTGGTTGAAGTGATGCACGTGAAGTTTGGAACTGAAATCTAAACAAGGACAACAAGTGATTCCATAGAGCAATCAAAATGGGGACATTTTTAGCTTGTGTATCGAGAAACCATTGATATAATATGAGATTCTTGAGGAACTTTTGTTATAATTTGCCTTCAAAGAAAGTCTTATGATAATATATCAAAGGCTGATTAGCCCGATACAGTAGCCACCTTTCATCTGTAAATTAGATATTAGTTTGTGAATTATCTCCATGTTTGGAGTTCCCATAGAAAATCTGTCAATAATGGAGAGTGCGATTGACCTAGCAAGCATGGATATTTCTTCATCGATGAAGAGGAGAGCAGGCTTGTTTTTATAAGATCAGGGTTGTTTTTGTGGCAATGGGCTAGGGAGGAATAAAATCATCTTTGATGTAAATGTTTTATAGGCAATCCATTTTATAATCTTTTTATTCTCGGTATGAAGATTTGAGGTGAAGGCTTTAGCTCTACACACATAATGGAGAATTGTGTTATATTAGATAAGAGTGAATTGCATGAATAGCTTGAATATGAAATGATCAACTTGATGGCATTCTTCATTTCTTCTTAAGCTTATTCTTTTTTAGTTATTCAGCTTTTTTTTAGTGAATATTCATGCTTCTTACATTTAAGACTTATGATAACTTAATTCTCTAACAAAACAACATTGTTAGAAACCTATGTGGGAAGCTTCATGAATTCTGCCATATCTTACATTAATTCTTGACCATAAGTTCCAAATTTACCTAATCAACTAAAAGTTTTCCTAGACATTTCTTAATTATGTCTCACAATATTTGGGTGTTTCAATTGTACAACTTCACTACTATGTTTCTAATCTATGTTATTCTTTAAATATTAAAGAAGACTCGTCTTTGATGTCTTAAACAAAGTCTTGTTTGTAATAAGGTGAAAGTTTTAAGATCCAAGTTTTAGTACCAAATTGACACTGAGGGGGTGTAAAACAATGTACAACTAGGCGTTGTAATATCAGACAACAACAAGAATTTTATGAAAATTACTTGCTAATGACTAACTAATAAAACGTATGAATTACAATATTTTGTGAAACTAAACAATCATGACTTACTTTCCAAATGGATCCTTGTGTTAAGTGTGAAGTTTTCTGCTCCAAACAATGAGTATTTGGGGCAGAGAAGTTCTGTTCATTCTCAATTTTTTGTAATTTCAGCCGCCACCTTGGTTTGCGGAAAAGTGGAGACTGTTTTTATTGAAATTTTGTTTTGTTGTTGCATTTAGAAGTATTCTTGCTATAGAAAATTAGAGCTTTTCTCTAATAAACCTGCTGTCCTTCTCTGATTTGGTTAAATGATTTGTTGGGTGGTAAAAGTACGGTAATAGGTTGAATTTTTTTGCAATGAAGGAAACCTTAGAGGGTTATATTGTTAAACATGGGTTAGAATTGACTGTAAAACTGGTTGTTGCTTGGAATCTGTTGCAGGAAATGAACTCATAAAGCTGGACTGCAAACATTGGATTTAGTATGAATAGAAGACTATAGGTAGGCTGAGAAAACTGTAACTCTCATATTGGATAGACACTGAAGATGATTTTTGAATGCTGGAATCACTTTTGGCCTAATTCTGGAATGAATTTTTTAACTGCCCTTTTGGATTTCTTGCTGCAAGAAATTGGCAGCAATCCCCTAAAATTGCATAGGTACAAAAACTTCAAGAACTTGATGAAACAATTGCTAATGACTGAAAAAAAAAATTACAAGAATTTTTAAGGCTAAACATTCTCGAAATTTTTTTCCCAATGGATTCTCATGCAAATGTGAAGAGAATTTTATACCAATAAATGAGTACTTGGGCCAAAGACAGTTGCTATTCATTCTCAAATCTTGGTAATTTTAGCCACTAAGTAGCTTGCAGGATACTAGAGCCTATCCTAGCTGAAACTCTGTTTTGTTGCTGCCTTTAGGCAATCATAAATTGGAGATCTGCCTCAGTAAACCTACTGTCCTTCTTCTCTGATTGGTTACATGATTTGCTGGGAGGCAGGAGGTCCATGATAGGTTGAATTTCGTTGTAAGTAAGGAACCCAAAGAGCGCTGAACTATAAAACATAGATTGGGCTTAGTAGTAAATTTGTAGTTTGATTAGAATTTTCTGCAAGAAATGAACTCACAAGGGTGGACTGTATGCAGGGGGTTTAGCTTGATTGGAAAACTACAGGTTGCCTGGAAAAACCTACAATTTCTATCCTTGGACAGCCGTTAGAGATGATTTTCAATTTTCAGAATCAATTTTGACAAAAATTTTGGAAATTATGACCGGTGATCCTCTTGTATTAGTTTGTTACCTGTGGACTTCTTGCTGCAGTAATTTTGTACAGTTCCTTGAAATTACAATTGTAGGGCCAGCATAGATTTTGGAGAAGATAAATATACTGTTGTGATCGATTGTGGCAAAACTTAGAATCTGTTGTGATTCCCTTGCCTTATTACCTCTCCCAACTTGGGGAATCCACCTCAAAACAGGCAATCATCCTTCCAATTTAGGAAAACCCGAAATTAAACTATTCATAGAAAAAAAAACCTGCCATAGTCTCTAAAGGAATGTATATTTATAGGCAAGTGATTTTCGTTAACAACTAGAACCCTTTATGATATCAGAAACAAGGCAAAACAAGTCTATTGAAAAATCCAGAAATTAAGAAAAAGTTTGAAATGAAAATCCCAAGAAAGGGAAGTATGCAAAAACTGAAATGAACGATGGATGTCCGTCACCTTGGTGCCACTCGAGGATACTGTAAATACTTCTTAACCCAGAAAGATACGAGAAAGGTTCTTACAACCAATCAATATGCTCTTTATTCTCAACCCACATAACACAACTTCTATTTATTGAGGCTAGACTCTCCTAATTACAAGTATATCATCCTAAAATACAGATACAACAAGCTGAAATGCATATACCAAGATATATAAACCAAAATAAAACTCTAGCTTTCGCGTCATTCTCCGGGGATTCACAAGTTTCTCTCATATTGAGCAATCTCAAAATCTGATTCCTAATGAACAACCAACTTGGAGGACATTGAAACATGATGGAGTCGCTCTAATCTCCAGGTAGATTATGTTTGGTGATTCAAACATCTTCCAACATTCAATTTTCAAATCTATCCTTCTTCAGAACCAAAGGGCCGAAACTGCACACGGGTTATAACACTATTTTCCCCCAAGCCTTTTTGGTTTAGCTTATCCACTTGGAGTTGAAGTTCCTCGAGCTCCTTTTGAGGCATCCTATATGCATGTTTGTTTGGGATGACCAAACCAGACATAAAGTCAATGACATGTTGTAACTCTTTCATGAGGGCACCCTGTAGGAATCTCTACCGGAAATATGTCTTTAGACTGTTATATCAATACTTGCACTTTGGAATTAGTTGTAGGTACTCGTTCAAAAC